AATTTATGCCCTGGCAATGCTGAAGCATGCATGGGCAGCCTGTATATGGCGGTTCTGTTGAACTTGTCCATATTGGGTCTCATGGTCTAAGTGGATGATAAAAGCCTTAGCTAAATTCAAAATACAAATGGAAGGAGAAAACAATGTTTCCCCCGATGTGCATTTAAATAATTGGTCCCCTGTTGATAGAACTGTTTGGGAAGAATTAGGAAGTGTGGCGTTTTGGAGGAGGTGTAACACGGGGGTGAGGTATAAACTTACCACTTACTGCTATGTTTCCTGCTATGCTCTCGTGAGTTCCATCCCTCTAAACACTCCAAATGGTTTCTTTTATAAGTTGCCTGTGTCGATGTAAGATGGCGGAGTAGGAACGCGGTGCGATAGGTGTTCAGGCTACCGGCTGACTTCGTATCCAGTCTCTGCAGCGGCAGGAACCACTGAGCAAAGAGCGCGTCCGTGTAGTTGCCCAAAATGCCTAATATTAAAATCTTCAGCGGGAGCTCCCACCAGGACTTATCCCAGAAAATTGCTGACCGCCTGGGCCTGGAGCTAGGCAAGGTGGTGACTAAGAAATTCAGCAACCAGGAGACCTGTGTGGAAATTGGAGAAAGCGTACGTGGAGAGGATGTCTACATCGTTCAGAGTGGGTGCGGTGAGATAAATGACAATCTAATGGAGCTTCTGATCATGATTAATGCTTGCAAGATTGCTTCGGCCAGCCGGGTGACTGCAGTCATGCCGTGTTTCCCGTATGCCCGCCAGGATAAAAAGGATAAGAGCCGGGCTCCCATCTCAGCTAAGCTTGTGGCAAATATGCTATCTGTCGCAGGAGCGGATCATATTATCACCATGGATCTACATGCATCTCAAATTCAGGGCTTTTTTGATATCCCAGTGGACAATTTATATGCAGAGCCAGCTGTCCTCAAGTGGATAAGGGAGAATATATCTGAGTGGAAAAACTGTACTATTGTCTCACCTGATGCTGGTGGAGCCAAGAGAGTGACCTCCATTGCAGACCGACTGAATGTGGATTTTGCCTTGATTCACAAGGAACGGAAGAAGGCCAATGAAGTGGACCGCATGGTGCTGGTAGGAGATGTGAAGGATCGGGTGGCTATTCTTGTGGATGACATGGCTGACACTTGTGGTACAATCTGTCATGCCGCTGACAAACTTCTCTCAGCTGGAGCTACCAGAGTTTATGCTATCCTGACGCATGGAATCTTTTCTGGCCCAGCCATTTCCCGTATCAACAACGCATGCTTTGAAGCAGTAGTAGTCACCAATACCATACCTCAGGAGGATAAGATGAAACACTGCTCCAAAATACAGGTGATTGACATCTCCATGATCCTTGCAGAAGCCATCAGAAGAACCCACAATGGCGAGTCTGTCTCCTACCTGTTCAGCCATGTTCCTTTATAACAGAATAACCTCTGAAGCTTTTTGAAAATAAACCAACCCATCCCTCATGTTTCTTGGTATTTGAGTTCAGCAGAAGACCCAGCTTGCTCCAGTGTAGATTTTTACATTCCGCATTAGCTACATTAGAATTTAGCCTAAATTGGAAAAGGACAGATTGTGGTTAACTGCTAGGATGTCCTACTTGTGTTGTTTCATCCTGACTTGCTTGTTTATTTTGTGAGCCTTGCAGCTGGTGACTAGAGGTCAGCTGCTGAAAGATGTATGGACTATTGAGAATATTCCACAAGGTCCATAGGACATAATTGACAGAGCTCATACTCCATTGCTCGGGAACGCTTTGGGGTTTTTCTTCATAGCAACAAAGTCAGCCCATATGTGATACATTTTCAGAGGTTTGTGCTAAACCCTAGCAAGAGCCCTGAGCATCCTTAAACATAGTTCCAGTAGTTGAGCACCCTGTCAGGCAGGGGCAGGTAGCTCAATGCAGTAATTAGCCTTTGGGAAGAAGAAGCCTGATCCATTGCCATCTGTTTAACTCTATAGCTTGAATTCACTACACTGGTTCCTTTCCTTTTGGCTTTACCTTCAGCCATCTTGACCTTTTCCTAGCCAAAAATATCTTGGACTCAGTGATCATGGTACTTGTACCATAATCCTCTGTAAGAGACTTGCTTCTTGCTTTGTAGCTGCTAACTTTCTCATTAGATAACTTGCTGTAGTGTAGTCTTCCCTAGCCTATTACCACTGTGGCGGTAGCTTTGAGGTGGTGTCTTAGTGCCTTTTGATTAAGTATTTAATTTTCATCTTCCTTGGATCCATTTGGTCTCTCAATTGAACAGATTTCTGCTAAACAATTTGGTGTTATAGTCTCTTGTTGAGAACTTAATGTCTGTTAATGTATGCAGAAAAAAATAAGTTGCCTGTGTCATGGTGCCATATTACAGCAATAGAAATGTAACACACCATAAATAAATGTTTAAAAACTAACGGCAGATCTTTATTAATAAACAGTGTCTCACTGAGGCGGGGAGACACTGAGAAGGCTCAGCAGGTAAAAGCGCTTGACACAAAATTACAACCTGAGTGTGACCCCTAAAACCCACGTGAGGCAGGAAGCAGTGGTGTGTATCTGTAATCCTGGCACCCCATCAGGAGATTGGAGATGAAGAGAAGAACTTCCTGGAGGGGACTGGAGAGGTTAAGAGCACTACTGGAAAAGCAGAGAACCTGGGTGTGAGTACCAACACCCCATGGTGGCTTGTAACCATATATAACTCCAGTTCCAGGGGATCCCACACCCTCTTCTAGCCTCTTTGGCACTAGATATGCACATGGTACATGGGCATACATGCAGACAAAACACTCATAGACATAAAATGAAATAAAGAATTGGCTGGAAGCTCAAGGGTCAGCTAGCCTGGGTTATATGGTACAGCCCCACAGATGAGAGCCCCTGCCTCAACAAGGATGGAAGGTGAGAACTGGCTCCTATAAGTTGTCCTCTGAGCCTTTCACATCCACGCGTGCATGCACACACGTGCAGACATGTGCCCGCCAGATGGCTCAGTGGGTAAAGGTGCTTGTCTCCAAGTCTGATGATGGGAGTTCAATTCCCAGATCCCATATGGTGGAAGGAGAGAACTGACCCTGAAAATTGTCCTATGATGTGCTACCACACTTACATGGAAGTCAGAGGGACGACTTGACCTTCACATATACACTGTAGCACACACTTGTCCACACGTACAGGCAAAATGTAAAGTTTCCGTTAAGACACATACAATAAACATGTTTTAAAGCCTAAAGATGTAGTGTTTGCTTGGGGAAGAGAGAGACTTGCTGATGGTTTTGATAATGAGATAGGCTTTCTTCCTAGTGCGTTTGTGCTCAGTGAACGAAACAATTACCAGGTGTGGTGGCAGGGTCATCATCTGTATCAGGTTTAAGAGAACCAGAGATGCTACATGCTCTTCTTGAATGCAATATTAGGGGCTGTAGGATGATAATCTGGAAATGCTTAGTGCACGGTTTTAAAAAAGTGAACAACATCATGGGGGCTGGAGAGATGGCTCAGAGGTTAAGAGCACTGACTGCTCTTCCAAGGGTCCTGAGTTCAATTCCCAGCAACCACATGGTGGCTCACAACCATCTGTAATGAGATCTGGTGCCCTCCTCTGACAAGCAAGCATACATGCAAGGAATGTTGTATACATAATAAATAAATCTTTAAAAAAAAAAGTGAACATCAAGTTTATTAATACGTTCTTCCCTTCCTTGCAAAATGCCATTTTACTTATTTATGTGAATGGGTGTTTTGTACCCTTGTAGTGCACCATATGCATGGTACCTGCAGGGGTCAACGGAGGGTGTCAGATCTCCTGGAACTGGAGTTCCTGAAGGTTGTAAGCACCATGTAGTGCTGGAAACCAAAAACCAGTCTTCTGCCAGAACTGTTCCTTTAAAAAAAAAAAAAAAAACCTCTCACAGTGTTCTTAACTGCCAAGCTGTCCCTTCCACATGCTTCTTGTTTTGTTTTTTAGAGACAGGGTTTCTCAATCTAACAGCTCTGGCTTCCTGGGAACTCACTCTGTTGACCAGGCTGGACTCGGAGATCCACCTGCCTCCTGAGTGCTGGGATTAAAGGCGTGCACCACCACCGCCTGGCTTCCATGTGCTATTTTTACAGGACCAGGTCACTTCTGCTTAATGTTCTTCCACAACTGATTCCCATGGCCCTCTGAATATATTCTGAGCCTGCTGGCCTGTTCCTTTCATTTGGCCACACAAACAACTAGTGCCTCTGGGCTTTCATCATGCTCTCTCGTGTATGATACACTCTCAAAACCATTTAGTTACGTTAAATATGTATGTACCCATACACATCTTCCAAAATGTACGTATATATGTTTGTATGTATGTATTTTAGGGATTCTACTGTGGTGAAGAGACACCATGGCCATGGCAACTCTTGTAAAGAAAAATGGGGCTAGCTTTGTAGCATGAATAATAAAAACAGGTATTGGGGTTCAACCTGAAGATCAGAAAAGCAAAACAGCCAGCCACTAGAGACCTTTTGCAAATCTTCAGACTGAAGGGGCAAGATCCCGTCTCCATGAGTTCCTGTCTCTTCCCCTGTATATTCCTCTCTCCACCTAACCATATCGCTCTTGTCTCCACCTCCCTAGTGCTGGGATTAAAGGCATGGGATTCTTGTGCCAGGATCACCTTTGTGTGAGCTGTTTTTCCTTTAGACAGACTCAATCTTGTGTAGCCCAGGATGGCCTTAAACTCTCAGAAATCCGTCTGCCTCTGTCTCCCAAGTCCTGGGATTAAAAGTGTATGTCACCATTGCCTGGCATGTATGGCTGACTAGTATGGCTGCTTTGCCCTCTAATCTTCAGGCAGGCTTTATTTACTAAAACACAAATAACATACCACTATAACTTTCGGTTTAGAGATTTATTATCATGTCAGGACATGGTGGTATGCAAGCAGACATGGTGCTGGAGAAGGAGCTGAAAATTCTCCATCTTTACTCTCAAGTAACAGGAAGTAATCTAGGACACTGGGCATGACTTGAATATATAGAGACCTCAAAGCCCACCCCCACAGTGACACTCCTTCCAACAAGGCCATACCTACTCCTATAAAGCCACACCTCCAAAGAGTGCCACTCCCTTTGGGGGCCATTTTCTTTCAAACCACAACAGCATGTATGTATATGTGTATGTATTCATGTATGTATGTATGTATGCATAGGTCTGCTGGCTCTCCTGATGAGCAGAGTTGACCTTGTCCCTGCATTTCTGATGTCTAGCACACCAGGGTCAGAGACTTTCCTAAGAAATTAATCATCTATTCAAACAGTACAAGCAGGGAGGATCAGGTTCGTCAGGGAGGAGACCTGTAATAGGTTCTCCAATTCCAAATGGTCAGCCCTAAACACATACACATATCAGCAACATTATACAGACTCAGTAGATTGTATGCATATGTATATATATGTAACAACCATTAAAGTAGAATGCGTCAGGAATTCCAGAGTGGGGGGAGGGGCTGAAATGATGTAAATTCAGCTACTTATACACGAAATTCTCAAAATGTCTATGTACAGAAAACCAGACACTTATAAAAACTTCTTCAGGATTCTCTGGGAAGTGCCAGTCTAAGGTTACAGCACAAATACTATTAAAGACATCATACCGCCTTTTATTCAAAAACTAAGAAGGATCTCGGATGACTCAAGTAGTTTATTTGCATAATTGATAATCTCATTTCTGACAGGACACCAATCATCTGAGCATAGCATAATTTAGTTGAAAACAAAACCATTACAAAGAAAACAACACCTCGCATGTCAGACTGTTCAAATGTCCACCATGTCCAGCAGTGCAGACAGGTGGAGCTCAGAGGCAACGTCTTCTTCCTTTGAACTTCGAATCAGCCTTTCCAGGTGCTTCAGCCTTCCAGTTAGCGACATGTCTGATATCTCTGAGAACTGCAATTGCTCTCCTGCCCCTTCATTCTAGTTGAATAAGAAAGAAGCCAAAAGGAGTCATCTGTGAAGGCATTACACCTGATTCATGTTTACATCATTTGGAGTCTCTTGGACTCAACAGAATCCTCCCTTGGTCTCTATCCTATATTTTTCCAGCTTCATCTACGACACATACACTATTCTATGGACTGAAATTGCTTAATCAGGCTCCCAGCTTGGGATATTTGTTGACTATACATACATCTAACACCACAGTTGTTTGTATGATATAGTGAAGCTTCGCTTTGCTGGGACAATGGATGCTGCCAGCTGGGACTTAAGAGCCAGCTGTGATTAAGAAGAGACCAGCATCACTGAGGTGAAATCTGTGAAGTGTTTACTCAGGCTCAGCACACAGAAGCTGTAGTCCAGAGGGAGCTGAACCTGGCAGTGTAAGACTCTCCCAGCTCGTACTGGTTTTGAAAGTATGAAAGGATCATGAAGAGCAGCTGAGACTTGGCACAGTGAAGGCCAGGCCAAGCTGCTGGTGCTCTCAGCCACAGTAGAAGCCCAGGATTAAACAGGTCCTGGTGAGAAAAGGCTTGGTACCATGGGAAAGGGTTAGAGTCCCTGACGAGAGCCCAAGAGAAAGAAGTTACTGGTGAAGGAGCAGACCAGCTGCAGTGGAGACGACCACCAGGGAAAGCAGCAGCTGTGGATGGGGCCAGTCTGAGCCTAGCAGACAAGCTGTGTGTGCTACACACAGCTGCCCAAGCATTTCCTCGGAGCCCAGAAGATCATGAGTGAATATCACAGTCTGACGCTAAGCTTTACACTGCCGGACTCTGGGTTCACCTGACGATTATGACTGTGCCCTTATTCTTCCTTCTTGGAATAAGAATATATGTAACTCATTTCTTATTTTACAAGTACCCATCGTTGAGAGACTTTTAACTTTCAAAGAGACTTTGGAATTTTAAAGAGACTGGATATTTACAGAAACTTTGGCTATTTTACAGAGATTATGAATATTTTAGGGAGTCTTTGGATGTTTTAAAGAGATAGAACTTTTTAAAAGAATACTTAAATGTTTTTGGTTGGTTTGGTTTTGGTTCTTTCAAGACAAGGTTTCTCTGCCTGCCTCTGCCTCCCGAGTGCTGGGATTAAAGGCATGCACCACCACCACATGGAAAGTGTTTAAATTGTTAAAACTGTGAGACTTTTAAAAGTTGAAATGTTTTATACTGTGATATTCATATTAACATGCGATCTTGGATGGAGAAAAATCAAAGAGGAGCAGTCCTGGTTGGACAGTGGTGTGTCTGTGTCAAGCTGACAAACAGCCAATCATGCTGGCTAGTTTTACATCCCCTTAACATAATCTAGTCAACTGTGGAGGAAGGCACCTCCTCCAAATTGAGAAAACACCTCCATCGCATTTTCATGATTGATGTGGGAGGCTCCAGCTCACTGTGGGTGGTGCCATCCCTGGGCTGGTAGTCCTGGGTGCTATAAGCAAGCAAGCTGAACAAACCAGGAGGAACAAGCTGGTGACAGATTCATACACGGAATCTGCACTAGTTCCACTTCTAGGTTCCTTCCCTGACTGCCCCTGCTGATGAACCATCATATGGAGTGAAACAAGCCCTTTCCTCCTCAAGTTACTTTTGGTCATGGTGTCTTATCAGCTGTAAAAAGCAGCTAAGACAATGCCATAGTTACTCTGTCTAATGCACATGGGCACAAGTATGTACAGGTTTGCTCTGTTCTTTCCTTCAGTGAACTCTGTGGCCAAGGATGACCCTGAACTTCTGATCCTCCTGCCTTTAACTCTAGGGTTTTCGGTGCATGGTTTATTCAGTGCTAGGGAATGCACCCCAGGCTTTTTACATGCCAGGTAAGCGCTCTACCAACTGACTACATTCCTAGCCCCTAGTCAATTTTTTACTGTGTTTAGGTATCTTCTCCATTTATTTCACAGGTAGGAACTCAGTAACATTGTCATATGAAGTTTAAAGGTCTAACTTCCATGTGTTAATGCATCACAGGACGAATCTAACACAGTGTTCCAGGCTTCCTGTGTAGCCCTGACTGCCTGGAACTCACTGAGTAGACCAGGCTGGCCTCACACTCTTGCAGTGCGGGGATTAAAGGGATGGTCCCCTGAGGCTGGCACATTCTCTCAGTCTTTAATTCTGTACATGTCAAATGCCCCCCGTTCTCACCTGAGGTCTCCTTGTTGTAGATGTTTTCAGCACAGTCTGAGTTTTGATAATGTCAGGGAAAGATATGAGTGTCTGAGGAAGGTAGAGAGGAAGGCAAGTTGACTCTGCAAATGCCTGTGAGTCTTGAGATACCCACTGCTGGAGTTGCTCCTCAAACCTGAAACAGGAGGACAGCTCAAAATGAGAACGTCAGAGCACTGGAAAGTAAAAGCTTAACTACCACTCATCTTACGTTTCTCACCGACTCTTCTGTGTGCCCATGTGTACATGTGGACGAGGATGCCCATGTGGAGTCAGAGGACAACCCTGTGGAACTTTTGATTTATTACAGGATTGACAGTATTTAAATACTCATGAAACTGGATGAAATTATGGAGGAGTGAGTAGGCATGTAAGAAGCAGAGATGAAGTCCAGAGAGAGAGTAGATCTGGATGCTGGAGAAAAACAGGAAAATCCTTGAAGGGGACTAGAAACAAGGATGAGAAGCAAGGATGCGATCACTGACAGGGCCAGGGCGCATGACCAGGTTCAAGTGTGCAGGCTGAAAATGCAAAAGGGACGAACAATGACTAACACCGCTAGCTTTACTTACAGTTTTACTATTAAAGGAGAAGCATGCAGTGGTGGCAAGAGAGAACTGAGGCCACACAGAAAGATGTGTCCGTCTGTCTGCAGGATTGTGGGCTGACATGCATGATCGAGTAGAGGGAAGGGCAATGTCTCAGAGAGCCCCAGGTGCTGGGTGCTGTGAGGAGGCTGGAAGTGAAGTCGCAACCCAGGGCGAGCTGACAGCGACTAAAGATGGGGTGCTCGGCTCCAGCAACTGTGGGAGAGGTACAACAGGCCCACGATACTCTGCTGGGCAGAGAGGGCAGGCAGAGGTGGGAGGAAGACAACCTTTACAAACGTCTATCTCCCAACTCTATCTCGCAGTAAAAAGACCATCCAGTGAGGACCAGAAGAGGACAGGACAGAGGAAGGGAAGTTGAGTTATGTGGAGGAGCTCCTCCCATCTAGTAGGAAATGATCCACTGAAGCCACAGGCTCCCCAAGGGACAAAGGCTGTGACCAGTCATGGCAGAAGTTACGTAGCCTTAGCTAAACATATTTTCCTCTAGAAAATTGACTTTAAAATAATAAACAACGAAGCCAATGATAAATGATAAACCTTAGACACATTCTATCTAGAGCATGGTCATCTTTTAAGAGCTTATACTTTTAGAGTCAGGTGGTGGTGGCCCATGCCTTTAATCCCGGGTATGTAAATTTGAGGCCAGCCTGGTCTACAAAGCTAGTTCCAGGACAGTCAGAGTTACACAAAGAAACCCTTTCTTGAAAAATAAAAAACAAGGTTACAAGATTAACTCAAAAGAATCAATAGCCCTCCTTTATACAGAAGATAAATGGGCTGAGAAAGAAATCAGAGAAACATCACCCTTCACAATAGCCACAAACAGCATAAAATATCTCAGAGTAACTCTAACCAAACAAGCAGAAGACCTGTATGACAAGAACTTTAAATCTTTGAAGAAAGAAATTAAAGAAGACACCAGAAAGTGGAAAGATCTCCCATGTTCTTGGGTAGGTAGAATTAACATAGTAAAAATGACAATCTTACTAAGAGCAATCTATAGATTCAACGTAATGCCCAGCAAAATTCTCCACAGATCTCGAAAGAACAGTACTCAACTTCATATGGAAAAGCAAAAAACTCAGGATAGCCAAAACAATCCTGTACAATAAAAGAACCTCTGAAGACATCACAATCCCTGACTTCAAACTCTACTACAGCCTAGTATTGGCATACAAACAGACAGGAGAACCCATAGAATCTAAGACCCAGACATCAATCTACACACCTATGAACACCTGATTTTTGACAAAAAAGCAAAAAGTATAAAATGGAAAAAAGAAAGCATATTCAACAAATGGTGCTGGCATAACTGGATATCAACATGTAGAAGAATGAAAATAGATCCTATCTATTGCCATGCACAAAACTCAAGTCCAAACAGATCAAAGACCTCAACATAAAACCAACCATACTAAACCTCATAGAAGAGAAAGTGGGAAGTACACTTGAATGCATTGGCACAGGAGACCACTTCCTAAATATAACCCCAGTAGCACAGACACTGAGAGCAACAATTAATAAATGGGACCTCCAAAAACTGAGAAGCTTCTGTAAAGCAAAGGACAGTCAACAAGACAAAACAGCAGCCTACAGAATGGGAAAAGATCTTCACCAACCCAACATCAGACAGAGGTCTGATCTCTAAAATATACAAAGAACTCAATAAATTGGTCATTAAAAGAACAAATAATCCAATAAAAAAAATGGGGTAGAGACCTAAACAAAGAACTTTCAACAGAGGAATCTAAAATGGCTAAAAGATACTTAAGGCAATGTTCAACATCCTTAGTCATCAGAGAAATACAAATCAAAACAACTCTTAAGATTCCCTCTTACACCTGTAAGAATGGCCAAGATCAAAAACACTGATGACAACTTATTCTGGAGAGGATGTGGGGTAAAGGGAACACTCCTACATTGCTAGTGGGTACAGCCCCTTTGAATATTAGTATGACAATTTTCAGAAAATTAGGAAGCAACCTACCTCAAGACCCAGCAATACCACTAGTGAGCAATGCCAAAGGATGCTCAATTGTGCCACAAAGACATGTGCTCAACTATGTTCATAGCAGCATTGTTTGTCATAGCCAGAACCTGGAAACAACCTAAATGCCCCTCGATCAAAGAATGGATAAGGAAAATGTGGTATATTTACACAATGGAGTACTACACAGCAGAAAAAAATAATGACATCTTGAAATTTGCAGGCAAATGGCTGGATCTAGAAAACGTCATATTGAGTGAGGTAACCCAGACCCAGAAAGACAATTATCATTTGTACTCACTCATAAGTGGCTTTTAGACATAAAGCAAAGAAAAACCAGCCTACAGTTTACTTAGACCAGAGAACCTAGACAATAATGAGGACCCTAAGAGAGACATACATGGATCTAATCTACATGGGAAGTAGAAAAAGACAAGATCTTCTGAGTAAATTGGGAGCATGGGGACCATGGAAGAGGGCAGAAGGGGAGTGGAGAAAAATACATAGCTCAATAAAAACAATAAAAAAATTAAAAGTATTATATAGGTGTGTGTGTGTGTGTGTACATCTGTGAATACACATGAGTGCTTAGAAAAGCCAGAGTATCAGATTCTGTGAAGTTGGAGTTACAGATGGTTATGAGCCGTCTGATGTGGGTGTGGGTACCAAACTGGGGACTCTGGAAAAGCAGCAAGTGCTCTTAACCTCTGAGCCATCTCTCTAGTCCCAAGCTTTTCTTATAAACGTCTTCCTTCTTTTCTTTTTTAAAACAGTCCCATCATTATAGCCCCTGCTGGCCCAGCTGCTCCTCTACCACTGGCTGTCTTGACTTACCCGAGCAGAAGGCGCCCACTCCTGCACAAAGTGGAATGAATAGCACACGTACACAGGAGGGGGGCAGACCCACCTTTTGTTCTCTTCCTTCTCCTCCAGCAGACTGCTGGACAGACACTGTGCCAGGAGCTCTTCCGCTGAAGCGCCGCGCATCAGATTGTCTGTACTGAAGTTCCCCTCTCGGCCACTCTCCTCATTTTTCTTCCCTTTATGGTGCACATGAAGCAGTGGAGTAGGAAAACTGCTTGCAGAAGGATGAAAAGCCTTTGTCCCCGAACTGAAAGCACAAGTGTGGAAGTTCTTATGGTTAAGAAGGATGCAAAGCACACAGACACAGCTGGACACATGTTTAGTCTATGAACAAAAGTCTCAAGATCCATGCACTCTATCGGACGGTTTATGCTCATGTCAGCCTGTGCCTGCCTCAGGACTTCCCTCAACAAGAGACAGTGATTCTCATACACATCAAGAGACACTGTTGGCCAGGTGTGGTAGCATGTGCCTTTAGTTCCAACACCTGGGAAGCAGAGACATTGTAGTTCCAGGCCAGCCAGAGTTACAGAGTGAGATCCTGTCTCAAAAAAACAGAAAGAGAGAAAGAGACTACTGCTTTCAAAAGTTCCACTATCTAGAGGCACTGGGTTCTCAGAGCTGCTTCAATCTAGGGCTTTATTTCTTATACCAGTTAGTCTGTCTGTCTGTCTGTCTGTCTCTCTCTCTCTCTCTCATGTGTGTTTGCATTTTAAGATTTATTTTATGTATACGTATTTGGCCTCTGTTGAGTTTATGTGTACTTCAAACATGCAGGAGCTATGGAAGCAGAAGAGGAAATCCAAGCACGGGAGTTCCAGGTGACTGAGGACCACACGGGTGCTGGAAATCAAACTTGAGTCCCCCAGAAGAGCGACAAATGCTCCTAACTACTTAACTCTCTTCAGCTCCATATAGTAAGCTTACAAGTAGATCTTTTTTAAGATTTAGTTTATGTGTATGAGTATTGTATGTATGTGTACTACACATGTGCCTGGTGCCCAAGGAGTTCGGAAGAGAGTATCAGCTCCCCGGAACTGATGTTATGGGTGGTTGTGACCCAACACTTGGGGGCTGGGAATCGAGCCTGGGGTGCTCTGCAAGAGCCGAGTGTTCTTCACCATTGTTAGTGCCAACATGGACAGCAAAGGCTGGTTCTGCCTTTTCTGTCTAATGTTTTATTAAAGGGCAGGATTTTTGTTGTTGTTACTTTTATTTTACTGGTTTTTTTTAAAATTAGTTTTATGGTATGTAGTTTGAACTATCAGCTTGAAACAATGCAAGATCATCATGAGGGACTGTCTAGAGCGAGCAGGTCTGCAGGCATGTCTGTGGGGACTGTCTAGAGGGAGCGGGTCTGCAGGCATGTCTGTGGGGACAGTCTAGAGCGAGCGGGTCTGCAGGCATGTCTGTGGGGACTCTTGATTCCGTCAGTAGGTGTGGGAAGACTCTAACCACCATGTGCAGCACCAGTCTCTGAGGGAATCAAGCATGCATGCATGCATTCTAACTGTGACTGCTGCTTCAAGTGCCTGCTTTGACTTTCGCAACTGATAAACTGTTACCTACAATAAGAAGCTAAAATGACCCCTTTCTCCAAGTTTCTTCTGTCAGAGTTTTTTACCATAGCAATAAAAATGAAACTAAGACAGCAGCCTAGTTCATGGTACATATAGAGGTCAAAGAACAATTCTGTGAAGCCGGTTCTCTCCTTCCACCTTAAGTGGACACCAGGGTTCAAACTCAGGCTGCCAGGCTTACAGGCAAGTACTTTGACCCACTGATCCATCTATCTGACCCTGAGTTTAAGTCTGAAGCTCATTTTAGGGGTGACATAGATGAGCCAGCAGTTGAGTTCTCGTCCAAAGAATCCAGGTTCTTTTCCCAGCTCCTGCATGCTGGCTCACAACTGTCTGCAACTCAAGTTTTAGAACAGACAACAGTGGCATGCAAATGGTGCATTGCCATACATGTTGGCAGAACATCCCTATATACAAAATAAATAAAAAATTTCAAAAGTTATTTCAACACTTACTAAAACAACCATATGCTTTTCTATTGTAGCAGCAAATTTTATTAATAAATTCTACTGCTGAGACTGTTTATCCTGGGGCAAAGGCTGCTCGGGAATGCTTTTAGGAGTTGCAAGACAATGAATACTAAGACATCATCTGGTATCTGTGAACTGGGTTTAAGAGACGGGAAACCAGCATTCTTATCACACACTGACAGAGAACTCACCGTCTTTGACTCAGCTGTAGCTCCCTCTGGGTCTGCATTCTGGCTTGTTCCCATGAAAAGGGAACATCATATTTTCTTAAGAGATTTTTGAAAAAATATACACATATCTGGCCATCTTCACTCAGTGCCTCTGAGAAAACAGGACAAAAACAGATTTAAGATGTATGTAAATATACATATGTCTATTCATTCATGCAGAATGGGAGGGCCAGGAATAACCCTCTAACCTTGGGAGTCTATGCTCTACTGGACCCCCCCTTTTAAAAAAAAAAAGTTTTTATTTTTTTCAAGATAAGGTTTCTCTGTGTATCCCTGCCTGGCTGTCCTAGAATTCATTCTATAGACCACGGTGGCCTTAAACTCAGAGATCTGCCTGCCTCTGCCTCCCGAGTGTTGGAACTAACAGTGGGTACCACCGTGCCTGACACTGTTCTTGTTTGTTTTTTTTAATGATTTATTTATTTATTATGTATACAATATTCTGTCTGTGTGTATGACTCCAGGCCAGAAAAGGGCACCAGATCTCATTACAGATGGTTGTGATCTACCATGTGGTTGCTGGGAATTGAACTCGGGACCTCTGGAAGAGCAGTCATTGCTCTTAGCCTCTGAGCCATCTCTCCAGCCCTCTCTCTGTTATTGTTTTTTGTGACATGGTGTCTCTATGTAGTCCTGGCTGTCCTATAACTTGCTATGTAGACTAGCCACAAACTCACAGAGATCCTCCTGAGTATTGAGATTAAAGATATGAACCACCATGCCCAGTAAAACCTTAGTTCCTGCCCAAAGTCAAGTCACCTGGAAACCAGTGACCTTAAAGAGAAGAGCTAAGAAAAGGGAAGATGGGACATAGGAAAAAGAAAGAATATCAAGAAACATTTTTCAATCAGGTATGGTGATTCCTGCCTTTAATCTCACTACTCAGGAGGCAGAAGCAAGTGGATCTGAGTTCAAGGCTAGCCCAGACTATTTACTTAGTGAGTTCCTGGCTTGTCAGAGGTACACAGTGAGACCCTATTTAGGAAACAAACAAAAACTCAACCCCCTCTTTTGTTAAAATTAGATCAGGGAAATCTCATGAAGACCCAGCCCCTAGGGCAGCAGCTGCATGATGGCAACTACCTGCTGTGATGGGAAGTCTGGGGGGTGTCCAGTCACTCAGCTTGTGATTGATGCACAAGGTGATGATGTCATCCCATGGGATCTCAGCAACTGAAGGCCCCGACTCCTGGCCTAGAGAGAGGCTCTTGCTCTTCCACTTCTGGTAAGTCCGGCACAGCAGGTTCTCCACCTGGGACTGGAGGACAGGCTGGGTCTGGCATGAGCTGGGAATCTGGGAGGTATACTGAACGATCATGGAACACACAGGGAGCCAGGGCGCTGCAAAGAAAGTTACCAGTGAACATGAAATATTACTAATGCTCTATCTCCTTAGAAGAGGGCTACTGTGTAGTTACGAAGTATTGAGAATATATAATAAGGCTACAAGCTCTGTCAGCTAAATAGCCAGCAGGCTCCTGCCTTCCCAGTGTCATTAAATAGGAAAGAACAGGCCCTGCATCAGCAGGTTTGAGCCAGCCCAGACTACCTGTGGGGTCTGCATCAAACAGACCACAGGCCCCATCCTCCAGGCACAGTCGGCACAGCCAGGCTCACAGGAGCACTGGCATAAACTAGCACTTGAGTGCTGTGGCCCCAGCAAGGCCAGCAGCTCAGAGACAGTCGCATCAGCCTCACACATGGCGGCTAAGTAGGACCTGTGGGGCAGGTGGGACAGTCTCAGGACTGTTATGGGGAAAGGACAAGTTCTATGTCATAAAACCCTGTTTCCTTCCACCTCAGACCTAACAGTTGGTGTAGGTAGGTGCACAGAGGGGGACTGTGAACTTCACACTGGAACCCACACCTGGTACAATGCCACTAAACAAGAAGGGAACAGGAAGCTAGCCCTTAGAGTGAGTACACACCTCCTGTAGGTGGGAGATCCATCTGTGGAAGCTGGAAGCCAAGCACAGCTTGCTTCAGCCAAGCTAGATGCTCTGCTGAGTTCCAGTGCAGATGAGGAAGAAGCTGGCTGCCTCCCACCTCAGCAAACTCCGTGACAGGCCAGGAGATGTCACACAGCTGTTCAGAGGACACCACAGAGGCCAGGAACTGGAGCACACTATTGAACAACTCAATAATGGTGCTGGGCTCTTGGGAGGCCAGGCCACCCAGGCGCCTCTCTCTTCTGTCGTGGAAAAAACGACCACTGAACTCACGGCTGATCCCATCTTCAACATACTGAATAAGGGTCTGGCAGCAAAGGTCCAGGTCTTGAGGGCATCGGGAGACCAGCCACTGGACTGCTCCAGAAACCTGAGGAATAAGACAACTGGGGGATGGAGTCAAACAATTCACACCCTCTTTAAAAAGCAGCTTTCAAAGGGGCTTAGCATTCTTCCCATGGCTATGGAAGGAAAGTAGTGCAAGAACAGAATCTCAGGCACGGCAGTAGGGAAACAAGCCCTCTGTGCTGGAGTGTGGATTCCTAGAACCCTGGAGACAGGTCTTACAGAGGCACCAAAGGGGGGGCCCATGAATACTATTCAACCAATTAAGTGGAGGCTGCAGAGCCCTCCTGGAAGGATGTAGGACCTCAGTTCTTCCTTTGCCCACTGAAGCAGAGCCACACCATCTTAGTCCTAGAATTAGCAGCTTCTCTGAATTCCAGGATGCTTCACAACCTGCAGTTACCTCTTCCTGTAGGACTTTTGTTCTGTTTTGTGTTCATATAGTGCTAGAAATACAACCTAGAACATTTTACATGGTAAGGGGATATCGTACCACTGAGCTACATCCTCAGGCCATATAGTTAGTCTTACTAATTCCTATACTTCTTTTCCTATAATAATTTTAGCAGACCTTTTTAGGAAATCTCTACTTATTTATCTTTTCCAAGTACAATCACTCTAAAAAAATTGAACCAATATAACATTTTAAATTCATAAAAGCAAAGTCAAAAAACCTATGTGAGCAATTTCATATATTACTGAAAGCATAACTATGGGGCATTTTTTAAATTTTATTTTTATTCCTGCCTATATCTTTAGAAAGTTATATGTATGTATAAGGCATAAGATTAAAATGGAGGGGCTGGAGAGATGGCTCAGCGGTTAAGAGCATTGCCTGCTCTTCCAAAGGTCCTGAGTTCAATTCCCAGCAACCACATGGTGGCTCACAACCATCTGTAATGAGGTCTGGTGCCCTCTTCTGGCCTTCAGGCACACACATAGAAAGAATATTGCATACATAATAAATAAATAAATAAATAAATAAATAAATAAATAAATAAATAAGTAAGTAAGTAAGTAAGTATTAAAATGGAAATCCCTAATGTAAGCTGGACATGACGGTTCATGCTACAATCCCAACAGAAGAGGGAGCGGCAGAATGATCAGCTCTAGGTTACCCTGGCTACCGAGCAAATATGAGGCTAGGCTGCCCTACATGATGTTATCTTTAAAAACCAACCAACCAACAAACAAAACCACCAATTAGAATTTAAGATATATCAGAAGAGGGAGAAACAAGTGTCTTGATAGAGCTTTAAAAATGATGGAACTTACCTTCACTGTGCCTTGTAAATCATTAACAGAATCAGGGATCTCAACAACAATGTAATCTGAAATCAGCTTAGCTGAAACCAAATCCTGTAACATCAGACCTGTAAGAGAAAAGGAGAAAGGTCCCATGTAATAACGTTCATTTCCACATGTGACATATCCCAGTGCTAGTCTTGGCCCACCATTCAGTAGACAAGAACCTTCTAGTCTCAAAGGATGTACTGTCTGCCATCCATCAAACTCAAGCTCCACCCACTAATTAAAAACTAAAACCATGAATGAAACGTCTTTCACAAACCATCCTCCACTTCCTTCTCCATGGAGTCTCCTTTGGAGCTGGGCACGAGAACCACCAGCGGAAGCGCAGGCTGGAAGGGCTTGGCCTGAAGCAACTGCTTGAGCTGCAGCAGGGCCGACAGCCAGTACAGGTCCTCCTCTGCCACGTCCTCAGTCTTCACTTTGGGAGGAAGCAGTAGCATGAGCCCACTGGCTCCCAACAGGTCCTTCCGTGTCTCCACAGCATCAAGGGCACTGTCACTAAGGGTGCCGTGGGCGACCTGCAACAGAACCAAAGACATCAGGATGAATGTACCAGAGAAGAGAACAGAGGAAGCAGTCTGCCCCAAGGTGTTCCAGTCACCATGCAGTCACTGTGTCCTGGGGAGTCCTTCAGAGACAAAGCTGGACCAGGCATGCTGGCACACACCTTTAATCCCAGTGCTCAAAGGGCAGAGGCAGGTGGATCTCTGTGAGTTTGAGGTCAGCCTGATCTACACAGTGAGTTCTAGAACAGTCAGAGCTACACAGAGAAAACCCTTCCTCATAAAACAAAACAAAAGACAAACAAAATCCACAGCCGGGCCAGCCCTCCACAAGACCACAAAACTGCCTGGTCAACAGATAGAAAAGCCTGCAGCTACATTTATGTTTGACCACATAACTGCCATCTTAACAACTGTGAACAATTATAAAAAGGTTAAATCCATCACAAAACCAAGCCTGCAGCAGACAAGAGATTCTTACTTATTTCTTTACACCATTGAGGAAATGGGACCAATCTCTGGATAAATGATGTAGAGGAAGCCATGATAAGGCTACAAGGATACTGGTCACCTCTGATTCTGACCTGAGTACTAGCAGTTGCACCAGGGAAGAACGGAATGAAGCTACTCTAGAAACTGAACAGCCCACAAAATAGATGCCCAGATCCAGAAAAAGGTTTGCTCGCCATTCAGTGACCATCTACTGCTACCCAAACAGAACTTCTGGCCAACGTTTAAGGGCCCTGTTCAGGTACAGACAGTCAGCCTCGGCTAAGATATCTAAAGAAAGAACTGCCAACATAAAAGAGACCCGGGGGGGGGGGGGGGGCTGGAGAGATGGCTCAGAGGTTAAGAGCATTGCCTGCTCTTCCAAAGGTCCTGAGTTCAATTCCCGGCACCCACATGGTAGCTCACAACCATTTGTAATGGGGTCTGGTGCCCTCTCCTGGCCTTCGAGCATACACACAGACAGAATATTGTATACATAATAAATAAATAAATATTAAAAAAAAAAAAAGAGACCCAGAGGAGACAACTCAGGAGACAGTTCTTACTGTCCAGATCTTAGACCCAATAGCACTGACCTCCTCTGAGAAATAAGGTGACCCATCTGGTGGGTGTGCTGTGCCAAGACTATGTTTCAGAATACAGTGTAATGACACAGACAGACACAAGATAAAGAAAATAAAAGTTCAGAGGATCAACTCATGTGCTTCAACATCTGTCTAATAAAAAGGTAACAGAAAGAAGAGCAGGTATCACAAGGAACTCTTATGGAAAAGGAAGGGGACCAGAGGGAGGGGCAGTTTAAAATGGTACAGTGATCTCTATATAGAAAACGTTACAATGAAACCCATCATTTTTTCCTGCAACTTAAAAAACAAAACAAACAAATGAAACCCTACAAAACTGACCCAGAAGTAACATAAGGTTCCACGTCAGGAGACTACATGCCTAAAACCAGTTATAACCAGAACTGCTACTCAGGGGAACTGAGGCAATGAGACTGGCAGTTGAAGACTAGCTCAAAAACTCACCAAGATCCGTAAGACCTAAAAACTCTAGGAAAGCCTGGGTGAGTAGCTCAGGGTGGAGCTCGAGATGGAGCTGGAGGTGGAGCACTTTCCTAACATGCCTGAGGCCCAGGTCCAACTCCACCACCACCCAAACAGTAAGAGTCTCTGCCTAAAGACCTGCTAAGCTCACAACCAATGAAGGAAATCTAGCACACTTGGCACTGCAGAGCAATTTCAGAACCCTATGGACAGAAAGGAAAAGTTACCAAGGAAAATCATAACAAACCTAGTTAAACAACAATAAAAAAAAATAAGAGGGTACACTAAGTATATTTTCAGAGAAGAAAGGAGAAAACTTCCTTCCTACACATCCTTTCTTCAGAATCGGCTGGAGGATACATACTGTCAGGAAGGGAATAAACCAAGGAAAAGTACTATACTGTTGCCAACACCAATAGACGAGCTCCAGGTGTCTGCCAGACACTGCTCTGAGCACACTACATGGAAAAGTTTACTTCAAACTCAAGGACATGGTGAGCAGAGCCACAGCATTTAACTATTTCTCTGGGTAAAAGAGACATAGGGAGAATATTGTGTTTTGTGTTTAAGTGGTTTTGGGATACTTGTCAGATAAAAGTGCTATCTGAAATAGAGTAACTGGGATAAATGCTCACCAAAAAATGACTCTAAGGTATTCTATTTGGATAGAGGCTATACCCTGAGTCAAGTAAAAAATAAAATGTAGTTTGTATCATGTTCTCAAGAAGGTCTGTGGCAGCTGAAGCTCCATGCTTGCTGTAGTCTGAATCCTGGCTGCCCCTCGGAAGCCCAGGAGTTTAAGCTTTGGTCTCCAACTTCACACTATTAGAGGTGGCTGAGTACCCAAGAGTTGGGTCTAGTGGATATTTTAGGTCACTGGGACATGCTTTTGAAGGAACTGCAGGATGCCAGCCTCCCCCTCTTCTCTGCTGGTTCCTGGCTGTCAAACACACACTTTTGCTTCTGCTGTGTCCCCTATCCACCTCACAACCAGGATGTGCTTCCTCAAAAGACCGACAAGGTCAGACACAGACTGAAACCATCAATACTACCAGCAAGAGTAAACTTCCTCTCTTCAAAAACTGACCATCTCAGACACTTTTAACAGGGACAGAAAGAGAAAATATAAACCTTACACAAGTAGAGGGCGACTTGTAAAGATGTAAAGAAAAATAGATAATGCCATTTGCTTCTGATCTTCTCAAAATAATGTAAAACCACTTCTGAGGATAGCAATTTATAATTTCAGTAATGTCTGAAGAAAGCAAATGAAATCATAAAGGTAAGTAAATGGAGTGACTGTCACTCACCTTTATGCACACGTTGACAGAAACTGTTTGATCCCCTTTACTACTGAGCGCATTAAAGACTGTGAGTGTCTGGATATCACCGCTACCATCACGGATGTCATCCACCAGGCTGTCATCTCCTGTGAACTTGACCTTTAGCCAATTTTCTAGTATTCTGTAGATAAAAGAAAATACCATTAGAGGGAAAGTTTAATTCTATAATAAATTACAGAAATCTTCAGGAAATGGGCTGGAGAGATGGCTCAGAGGTTAAGAGCACTGGCTGTTCTTCCAGAGGTCCTGAGTTGTGGTCCACATGGTGGCTCACAACCATCTGATCTGGTGCCCTCTTCTGGCCTGCAGGAATGCATGCAGGCAGAATATTGAATACATAATAAACTAATAAATAAAAAATAAAAATAAATAAAAAATTAAAAAAAGAAATCTTCAGGAAAACAAAAGAACTACTATATGGATACAGGGTCAGACACAAATCGCATGGTGAAGCTGGCCTGGACAAAACAGGTTGTTACTTTGAATGGACTTAGAACCTCTACCAAGTTACTTATTTGAGTAAGTGGAAAGGACGACCATGCAAGTGCTCCATTCTGATGTGACTTAAAACAGCAAACAGCAAAGGAAAGGCCTGAGCAACAGAAATCATCGCTGGAGTCACACACCAATTTCAGCCAGGTGTGGTGGTGCACACCTTTAATCCCAGCACTTTGGAGCAGAGGCAGGCGGATCTATACAGAGAGCTCCAGGGTACATAGTGAGACCTTGTCTCAGAAAACCACCAACAACAACAAAAAATTGTTTTACAGAATCAAATTTCTCACAATGAACCTGCGATACAGTTCAGTAGATAAAGACACTTGGTGCCAAGCCTTGCCAACCTGAATTCAATCCCTAGAACTCGAATGATATAAGGTAGTGTGGGTTACAATCCCTTTGGGGTCAAATGATCCTTTTACTGGGGTTGCCTAAGACCATTTGCATATTATATATTTATATTATGATTCATAACAGTATCAAAATTACAGTTATGAAGTAGCATCGAAAATAATTTTATGGTTGGGGAGGAGTTGTGTTAAAGGGTCGTAGCATTAGGAAGGTTGAAACCACTGTATAAGGAGAAACCAAGTTTTCTGATCTCATGTGGCCTGTGGCACACAGGTGCACACACAAAACAAACAAACTTTCTTCAGGGCCTGAGAGATAGCTCAGCAGTTAAGAGCACTAGCTGCTCTTCCAAAGGATCCAGGTAGAACTCAACTCTCAGCAAACAAGACAGCTAACTCCAGTTCCAGGGGATCTGATGCCTTCTTCTGGCCTCTGTGGGCACTGCAAGCACAAGGTACACAGACACATGCTGGCAGAATACCCACACACATATAGTTAAAAAAATGTTATCATGCCCGAGTCTTTAAGAATTGTTACAGGACACACATTTCCTAAGGAACTCAGCAAACCAGATGATCACTACTTTAAGAAATACATCATTTAATTACTTTAAAAAATGTCACAATTCTTTCATTGTTCAACTGTCCTGTGAAGTGAACCTCATGATTTCCTTATTCTCTTTCCGTAGCCTATGTACCAACAATAACTGGTTAAAAGTAATGTATTCAGACAACTTGGAGCTACTGTGCAAAATATGGCAGTTCTTCAAAGACTATAACAGTTACATAACCCAGTCATTCTATTCCTAGGTACGTAAGAGAAGTTAAATGGAAACGCAATGGCTATCAACTCATCAGATAAATGAAAAGGGGTATTTTCTTACATTCTTACATGGAAGATCCTAGACAGTGTGCTGATATGTGCTTTATATGTACAGATGACACCATTTACATAAGACACCTATGTTAGGCAGATCTCTAAACATAACAGAAGAGCTGGGATCAGAGGAGAATGGGAACTAATAACATGGTTTATGTTTAGAGGAAAAAGGTTCTCGAATAAGATAAAGTTGATGATTCTAAAGTATCATGAATAAAAGTCACTGAATAAAGTTTACAATACATGAGCTACATTTCAATAATTCTACTAGAATAAATGTAACTTACTCTGTAGCTGGAGGGCTGCTTGTTCTGTTTTGGGATTGTATATGTGAGTATGTACATACTGACATGTATTTGTGCATGCATGCATATGGAAGACAGAAATCAACCTTGACTGTCACTCCTTAAGGGCCTCCCAAACTGTCTAGTGAGACAGGGTTTCCACCATGGGCTGGGGTAGCTGGCTAGTGAGCCCCAGGACACTGCTGTCACTGCCTTTCCAGTGCTGGGATTACGAGAATATGGCTACCACAATTTTACATCAGGTCTGGCGTCCAAACAGGTGCGCATGCATGCACATCTCAGCTGAGGTCTCTCCACAGCCTCTACATGGTGTTTTTCAGAGACAAGGTCTCTTAACTCTATAGCCTAGCCTGACTTAAAACTCATGGTAATTCTCTTCTGCCAGCCTTCAAAGTGGGGGGTGGGGTTACAGGCATATGCCAATCTATATCAGCATCATAGTTGCTTTATTATAATTTCTGGAAGCTATTTGATTATAGAAAACAGGGCTGGAGAGATGGCTCAGCAGTTAAGAGCACTACCTGCTCTTCCAAAGGTCCTGAGTTCAATTCCCAGCAACCACATGGTGGCTCACAACCATCTGTAATGAGATCTGGTGCACACATGCAGACCACTGTATATTTAATTAATAAATAAATAAGACAAACAATAGGGTGGACAGAAAGAAAGAAAGAAAGAAAGAAAGAAAGAAAGAAAGAAAGAAAGAAAGAAAGAAAGAAAGAAAGGAAAAAGAAAAAGAAAACAGTATCATTGCTGGGCAATGGTAGCGAGTCCAGCCTGGTCTATAAAGCAAGTTTTAGGATAGCCAGAACTACACAGAAAAACCCTGTCTCAAAAAAACCAAAAAGAAAAGAAAAAAAAAAAAAAAACAAAAAGAAAAAGAAAATAGTATATCATTTTTCAATTTCTTAAAATGTCAAACATTTTTTCCTGAGATGAAACACACAAAGTATAGCAGACAAAGTAAAAACTAATTCCTTCCAAAATCTTAAATAAAGCAGATACTAATCCTCAACTATTAAAGCTTTTGGACTAAGACTATATATGGAGTAATGTCAAGTATATAGAATAATGACAAAAATCTAAAGATCATGAGCAAAACAGACTAAAACATAAAGCTTTAGTGTCCATACACAACAAGACAGTCCCACCAAGAACCACAATTCTGCCTGCGTGCGACTCTCAGGAGAGAAGTCCTCCTCCACATCAGCATCCTACTCCCCACACAGAAAACCTCCTGACCTGCCAGGACTCTCTGGAGTCTGCTCTTCTCCATCAGGCAACACCAGCACCAGTTTCCAAAACATGTGCTCACGCTTCACAGGGAGGTGCTCAGCCACGAAGGACGGCAGGTCCAGGGGTGCCCATGCAGCATTACTGGAGGGGACAGATCAGTGAGTGAGCCACTGTACCGTCCCAAACAGGAAGAACACACAGGGAGAGAATGACAGACCTGAGCAGCTGCTGGTGGAAGTGCTGAACCTTCATCTGATGAGCTGTCTTGTTTCTAAGACGCCTCAACCTACGAAGATTAAAAGACGAAAGACACCAGGACTACAAAAGGTTATTTTCAAGCCATAGAAATAAATTAGTAGTATTTACTTGACCTAGTACCATGAATGGATTACATTTTTTTGATTGACCAAAGGGATCCCACAGGTCATGGGCCCTAGGGGAACACTTACAATTATTAGTCTATAAAATAAATACAGCAATAAAATGAATCCTAATAACATACTACTAGGGCTGGAGAGATGGCTCAGTGGTTAAGAGCATTGCCTGCTCTTCCAAAGGTCCTGAGTTCAATTCCCAGCAACCACATGGTGGCTCACAACCATTTGTAATAAGGTCTAGTGCCCTCTTCTGGCCTGCAGGCATATACACAGACAGTATTGTGTACATAATAAAAAAATCTTTAAAAAAAATAACATACTACTATATCCAAAGATCAGTCCTTCAATCAGTCCTCACTTTCTTCTAGCACTAGGTGGTAATTAACAGAGACCTACAACTAGACAATAGGCAGACAGTAAGAGACTGGAACCCTCAGCTCTAAATGGGTTATCTCCATCAATTTCCTCCCCTCAAGGCTCCAGAATCTATGCACAACAAGAGGTGGGAAAATTGCTAAGAGACCAGAGGTCATGAAACAAGGAAAACAAGGAAACAGCAATCCCCAGACACAGTAGGACTAATAACACACATAAACTCTTAGAGACTGTGACAGCATACACAAGACCTACACAAGTTGAAGCCAGACAAAATGGCAGCATGGAGAAGTGGAAGTAGGCACAAAGTTCAATTCCTGATCAAGAAGCCATTTGCAATTGATAGTTACCAAGAGAGGGAAAATCAGTTCTCCCCAAAGGAGTGACACTGTGTAAATCAGCCACAGGGCAGACCTCATGCTCAGTGGTGCAGGAGAATTGTCTATATTCTGTCAATTATGCTTTAAATAAACGTTGATTGGCCAGTAGCCAGGCAGGAAGTATAGGCGGAACAACCAGACAGGAAGTAGAAGAGGGGCAATGAGAACAGGAGTATTCTGGGAAGAAGGAAGCTCTCTTCCCCCAGTCCTGTCCAGACATGGAGGAAGGAAGATATGACCTGCCCTGCCGAAAAAGGTACCAAGCCTCGTGGCTAATATATACTAGAATGGGCTAATATAAGTTATAAGAGTTAACAAGAAGCCTGAGCTAATGGGCCAATCAGTTTATCATTAATATAGTCCTCTGTGTGTTTTTCTTTGGGGCTTACTGGCTGTGGGAACTGGGCAGGTCAGAAACCCCAACAAGCAGACCCTCATGTTACAGCTCAGGAGTAGTTGACCAACACAAATCAGCCTTCATGGGTTTTATTTTATTATCCTTACTTTTTATTTTATTTTTAAGAAAGAGAAAGAACATGAAGTTGGGTGGGTGGGTGGACACTGGGAGGAGTTAGGGGAGGGGGAAGAATACAACTAAAATATACTATATGAAAAATTTAAAAATAATTAGTATTTACTAATGTTTCTGGGTGAAAAGTAATTGTCACTGTTTCCTGGTGGAGAGCATTTAGACTTTGATAAGCCAACAGGTCATACAACCCCATCAAACATCTGCTGAACTATTCACAATGAGCTGGCAACAGGAAAGACATTCTAGATATGCTCTCATGGAAGAGAAGAGCCTCTGTGATGGCTTTATCCTTCACAGAACATACCTATAGGCCAGGAGAGGTGGTGCACACCTTTAATCCTAGCACTTGAGGGGCAGAGGCAGGTGGATCTGAGCTGGAGCCCAGTCAAGGCCCTGACTTTGGAGTATGTGCCAAACTATAACCCCCATTGACACAGCACACAGAGGTGACCATGGGATCTGAGAATCAGATGAAACCGTAGGAGGAAAGGCTCAGAGAGACCATCCTGTGATGGCCAGGGGAAGAATAAACACAGCCCATTCAGGCAGTGCCCATGGCACCTCCATGTTGTCTCCCTAGGGCCTCCCCATTAAGAGGCAGACGGCTTTGAGAGCCCCCATGAAAAATGACATTGAAACTGGACCTGAAGAGAAACACCAAGCCTAAGATGGCAATGATTGAACAACCTGGACCTCAGGAACTGAACTGCTCAAGGAGACTGGAAGGAACAGCAGAGGGCCTGGCTGCGGGGCACTCAGGAAGAAAAAGACAGTTGTACAGAATACAGAAGGTGGAAGATGAAGGGAGCACAGCGGGAGCAGTTCTAGAAGCAAAAACTTAGGGCAGACTTAGGAATCACTAACGCTAAGTTAGAGTCTACCAACAGAACCTGAGCCTTTCAAGGTCATGGAAAACTTGAGCCTCTTTTCCTAGTGGTAGGGAACACAACCCTTAAGATGCACTCCTAGGTCTGTCCTTACTTACTGGCTCCACTCATCTTCATCCACAAATGCATCAGTCTAATGCATGCTGAAACTAGTTGAGGCACAGAGCCCCGAGGACATGTCGCTGAGCACTGACCTGGTACAAGAGATGCCTACTTTCCCCGCATGGCCCAGGTCCAAGAGGCCCCTGGCCAGGTTCTCCTCAGCAATGGGGCACTCTGCACTGGGCACTAGTGCCTGCAGTCGGTCATTCATGTCCACACAGCACGGTGCAGCAGGGAAGGCCCGCATCTGACGCCGGAGTTTCTTCCGGGCTGCAACAGCTTCCCTCCACCTACAGAGAAATCAGCATAGCATTATTGGACAGTGTGTTTATGGCTCATTCTGTGGGGAAAATACAAAGTCCAGTATAATAATATGGAAATGGGGTTTTTGTCATAAAATTTTTATATTTCCACATGTTTGAATGTTTTGCCTGTGTATATGTATGTGCATCTTACACATGACTGTGGACAGTTGCGAGCTACCATGTGGGTGCTGGGAACTGAATCCAGATCTTCTGCAAGAACAGCAAATGTTTTTGCTTATTATAATATAAAGCGTATTACAGGTATACCAAACAATTCTACAGGTCAGGCAGTTATAAAAAGATCAAATCAAACTGTAAATGATAAGTTAAACAAACAGAAAGGGATGAAAAATACCCCCAGAAAAAAATGCATAATGCTTTATTCACCTTAAATTTTCTTAACGCTAATAAAAAAGAATGGCAACAGAGAGACATTGGATAATAGAAAAAACTTCTAAATTAAATCAGCTAGTGTATTTCAAGGATGTGTTGACCTCACAATAAAAACCAGGAGATGTGCTACATTGAGGAAGGGGCTTCGCTCGTTTCCACAGAAGAAAAATTATGGATACCATCAAAATTAATAAAGATTCAGTTTAAAAACGAGAAACCTCTTGAGAGGTGACAATCATACAGGTGGTAAGGAAACCTCATAAGGGTTGGGGCACAGTTCTGTTCTTGTCTTTACAGGAAAATACTCATCTTCAAAAAGTCAAGAACCCTGGACATTTGAATGCCTAAAGAGAAAAAAATAACAATCCAAAAAGTATCACCAAGTAAAGAAAACTGTGACTTATGAGGGCAGGTCATCTGAGGGGTAAAACTTCAGTGTGTGTGTGTGTGTGTATTCCTATAGAGTTATAAAGTCACTTAAAAATCAAAGCAGGCTTTAGAGTTGGACAATGGCTATCCTCTCTAAATCCTCTCTAAATCCAAGCACGTTATTAAAAAAAAAAAATTCAGAGTTTCTGTCTCATGTCAGGAGCCATCTGGTATGGGACAGAAGAAAGAAAAAGTTTAGAAAACCTTTTGCTTTTCCCCATGGCTATTTTTTGTTTCTATCATATCTTTCGTTAAGTATATGTTTATATAAATAATGTTTAAGTTTTCCACAATAAACAGAAGATTTTTCTGCAGTAATATTTGAAGTTTCCAGGAAGAAGCTGGGGCCCCACAACGACTCCACCTGGATGATATGTCATGATGCTGATAGCACTACTCTAAGACTGGTTTTGGGTACCAAAACCAAGATGGTTCCAACTTAGTTAGCTGAAATGGGGCACCGTCTTCCAACGTTCTAGCCAGAACTTCCAAATAAAAGTTCAGAAAAATCCTAATGACCACTCAGAGATTATTTGCAACTATACAAGACAGTAATCTTGAAACTTAATCATCATTTTACTTTTACAAGATCCCATAAAAAGAATATTGCCCTCACAACAGCTGGAAGCAATTCTAAAAGATGATGTCCCCTCTCCCAACAAAGTTTGTCCTCAGGGTTAGAGGGTGGTTGATTATTGGTCATACAGTGTTGGGGGCTGGGGTGGAAATTATGTAGGTCTAGAGATCTCCTAAAAAAAGGGGGGGGGGATTGAATGGGATAATAGGTAGATTTGTGTGAGCTTACTCACACTGATAATAATAATAATAGTGAGTAATAAAGTGAATACTTGTGAGTTATCATTTATGGACAATTTACATTGGTATATATTCTTATACAATGATACAAGTTCAAATTATATTTGTTATGTTGAATATTATCCTATTTCTGTTTACAATATTTATATACCTATGCAAAGTTATGCATGCATGTTCTACATTTGTTTAAGACATTTGATATATTGATACATTTTAGGATATATTTATCACATTGCATTATATATTTCCACCTCTAATCAAGATACTTATACATTGTTTACATTGTGAGGTCATTGTCCTCATTTACCGCACAGTTGTTTAAAGACTGTTTAATATTCTGATATGAAATCTTAGTCTTTAAGTTATGTAGGCATTAAGCATTATAGGTCAAGTCATTCATGTTTGTCATACTTATAGTCAGACTAATTAGGTTCTTTAGCTACACAGAGACTGTATTCTGTACAGATAGGTAAGGCACAACTGTTCATTTTTCTCTCAACTCCTCCCTGCTTCTCCCCTCCCCTTCAAGCCTCTCCCATGGTTCCCATGCTCCCAATTTACTCAGGAGATCTAGTTTTTTTCTACTTCTCATGTAGATTAAATCTATGTATGTCTCTCTTAGAGTCCTCATTGTTGTGTAGGTTCTCTGGGATTGTCATTTGTAGGCTGGCTTTCTTTATGTTTAAAAACCACTTATGAGTAAGTACATATAATAATTGTCTTTCTGGGTCAGGGTTACCTCACTCAGAATGATGTTTTCTAGCTCCATCCATTTGCCTGCAAATTTCAAGATGTCAGATACATTTTTACAGAACGTGCTCTGAGCCGTCATCGCTGGCTAGTGGAACTGATGGCTCAAAGACACTGAACTGATAAAAGACTTCCATGTGGGTGGACAATTCCTGATAGAACAGAGGACTCACCGTTGTAGATACTTGCAGAAGCACTGAAGTTCCTGGAGTGTCTCTTTTGCAGTCTGGAAAATTTCCTCAGCAAGAAACAAATCCAGCAGGTGTGCACAGACGGCTTCACAACAGCGGGCCATACGGTCCTTCTGGTCTGTCTCGACTGCACTCCTAGAGTACAGAGCAATAGCACAGAAGCTGCTAACCAACGGCTACTGACACTTAGACTCGCTTTAAACATGAGTCTGGGCTGGGAATATGGTAAAGCATCTCTCCTGGTTAGTTTTGTGTCAGCTCGACACAGTTATACAGTAAGAGAAACCTCAGTTGAGAAAATGCCTCCATCAGATTACCTATAGGCAAGTGTGTAGGGCGTTTCCTTGATTAATGAATGATTGGTATGAGAGCCCAGCCAGACAGGGTTGGTGCCATATGGCTGGGACATGCAGGACATGTATAAGAAAGTAGGCTGATCAACTAAGGAGAGACAAGCCAATAAGTAGCAATGCTCCATGGCTTCTGCTTCAGTTCCTGCCTCTAGGTGCCTGCCTTGAGTTCCTGTCCTGACTTCCTTGAATAACGAACTGTGAGGTTGCACTGGATGCCTAATAAACCCTTTCCTGCCCAAGCTGCTTTCACTCATGGGATTTATCACAGCAGCACAAACCAAACTAGAACAACATCTGCCTAACATGTGCAAGACCCTCATTTTGACTGCTGTGCCCATCCCAAAAGAGCTAGAGTCCATTTTCATATGGAAATAGAATTAACATCTCCACTCTAACAGAAAATTTAAGACTTTTATTTTTACTTATAAGTAGATACCTGAAAGAGAAAAATATCCTACTGGGTGCCGGATCAAGTTCAAGTAAGCCAGTGTAACAATCCAGAAACAAACTTTTACCCCACCAAGGTATGGTAGCCTATACACATGTTCCTAATACCCGGGAACCTGAGGTGAGAGCACCACTTGGACCCAGCAGTTAAACTAGTGTTAGTAACAAACAAGAGCCTACACTCCAAGCCTACACACATGCTCTATTTAATTCAGTGGGGAAGGGGATTCCAGTGTACCATGGTTCATGTGGAGGTTTCAGGACAACTTTTGAAAGTCGATTTTCTTATTCCACTATGTGGTTGTGGAGATTGAATTCAGATCATCAAGCTTGGCAACAAGTACCTTTGAATTTTAATTTGAAATGACCCCTGAGACAACGCAAAGTCTCATCAGCAATATAAGGTGTCTGCAATTAGATGGATCTCACACAACTGCCAAACACTAGCGGCTACTAGGAAGGCTTTCCCTCAGATACATCACTCTCAGTCTTCTCTATTTTTCAAAGTTAAAGTCTCCTTGTTAACCCCAGGTGACCTAGAATTTGCTTTGTCACCTAAGCTGGCCTCAGACCTATGATTCTCCTACCGCAGTCTCACAAGTGCTGGAATAACAGGCATGTACCACTGTCCCCAGACACAAAAAGAAAACAACAGTAAGTGCTGTATGTATGTACGCCCCATGTGTGTGGGTGCCTGCAGAGGCCAGAAAAGGGCGCCAGAGCGCTGGAGCTGGAGCTATGAGTGACTGGAGCACCCGGTATAGTTAATGGGAACTAGACATGGGTCCTCTGGGAGAACAGCAAGCATTCAAATCACTGAGACATCTCTCTGGCCCCCAAAAGAAATTTTTAAATGACAAAATTCTATCAAGCAGGCGGCACAAAACTATGAAATACATTAGTGACAAAATTGACATAAATTCAATTTAAAGAAGATTCATTTCCAGTAACTAGAGACAGCTCAGGACTAAGCTAAACTCTTAAGACAGCTGAAACTGCGAACACTTTCCTCATGTGTCATCAAGCCCTGGATTTTTATCTGTGTCCTAACATTTCTTCCTGGAATTAAAAACTAATTCACTAGCTGGGCATGGTGGCACTTGGGAGGTAGAGACAGGTGATTTTGTCTGAGTTTGAGGCTACCCTGGTCTACAAAGTGAGTTGCAGGCCAGCCAGAACTACACAGTATTTTGAGACATACTGTCTCAAAGCAAAAACAAAAACAAACAGAACAACCCAACATACTAGTACAGGGAGGCTGACGTAGAAGAATATCCACATGTTCACAGCCAACAGGAGCTACACAGTGCAGCTAGGCTAGTCTAGGCTATTAAGTGTGACTCTGCCTCAAAGAACGGACAACTTGCCATCATTCTGTGAAATCTCTTCCTTACAATAACTAGAGAAAGAGGATCCCAACTAACAGAAACAGGAAGAACCATCCACTGTCTGGGTGGGCTTCCATCCACTGGGAGCTGCATGTACACTGTGGTCCACCACTTCATGCTATCTCGGGGAAACAAGCACAAGAACAGAGAGACAGCTCTTCCTTCACAACCGGCACCCTTTCTTTCCTGAAGCTCAACAGTAAAATGAAGAAAGCTCTTAGGCGAAAAGTCTCAGGAAATCTAACACATACAAGTAGAAAGGTTCTCTTACTTGAAAAACAATGGCATATGGGCCGGTATAGAAAGGATTCAGCTAGTAAACCTGCTCACAGACACAACCCATGCCTCCTCATGCAGGGTCCATAAGGAGAATGAAGCAGAGCTCCCTATTAGAAAGGATATTACATCTGGCTATCTAAAAGGCAAGCTTCTCAGGGGGCATGGCAGTGCATGCCTCTAATGCCAGCATTTGGCAGGCCAGATAGGTGGAGCTCTGCATGTCTGAGGCGAAGGCCAGTCTGGTCTACAAAGAATAACCCTGCTATGCACACACTATAACTGACTTGGCCATCATGCCTCCTGCCTCCTCCCACACTTGTGGCACTCAGGGCCCCAGCGCTCCACTCACTTTAATTCCTGGGAGCAGGTTTCCCGCACACACTCCGTCACCATGAGTTCTGTCAGCTCTGCAGCCAGGCCCTCGCTCAGCTGAGTCAACACCAGTTCTCTCTCTTGCTTCAACCTATGGGCAGAAGAAAAGAAGCACAAAGGGAATGCTTATGAATAAAAATGAGGGTTGGAGAGATGGCTCAGTTGTTAAGAGTGCATAGTGCTCTTGCAGAGGACCTGAGTTCATGTCCCAGCACCCACATGCAACTGCCTGTAACTACAGCTCCAGAGACCTGACACCTTCTTCTAGCATCCACAGAACCTGCATTTACATATATATGCCGTCCACCTCCCAACACACAACTCACACCCCCTCCACACACACACACACACACACACACACACACACACAAAACCCTTTGTGTTCGTCAAATCATGAGGATGTGGAATAGCCCAACAGGGGTCAGATGGCAACACAATGAACAGCAAAAGGGGTATCAGAGGTCAGGGCTGATATAAACTGACCTCTGTGCCCAGCTACAGGAACAGGAAATACCCACCTTTCCTCTTCAGCCTGCCGCTTTTCTTCCTCTCTTCTCTGCCTTTCCATGGATACTTCTTCAGCAGCAACATGCCTCAAGATGCCCGTGGTTTCAGCTGTTATCAGATCCTCCACGGCAGCATTAGAAACACTTCACAAAACGAAACAGATGGCATCAATCTCAGCAAAAGTGTAAACCACCATTCACTCTTTCCAGGTGAGATTTGCTTGTGAAATGCAGAGAGAGTTCAATACATGAAAACCAATCACAGGCTGCAGGATGGCTCGCCAATAAAGTATGTGCATAAATGAGCACAGGACATAAAAAATAAGGACCAAAGCCATCAGTCATGAGAGCACAGAGTCAAACTTCCTGTCACCAAGAAAGGGAGGAGGAAGAAGAACCACTACACTGGATGTAGTGGTTCATGCCTGCAACCCTAGTGGTCAAGAGGCTAAGGAAATCAGAGCCAGAACTCAAGACTACGGGCTGGGGATGGTGGAGCACACCTTTAGTCCCAGCACTAGGGAGGCTGACGCAGGCTGAGTTGGAGGCTAGCCTAGCCTGCATAGTGAGACCCTGTCTCAAAAGCAACGCCCCCCCCAAAAAATTAGGGTTGGGGTAGAGAAATGGCTCAGCAGCTAAGAGCACTAGTTATTCTTCCAGAGGATCTGAATTTGATACTCAGCACGCACATGACACCTCACAATCATCTGTAACTCCAGTTCCAGGGGAGCTGATGTCTTCTGGCCTCTGCAGGTACCAGACATGCATGATATATTCACACATACATGCAGGCAAAACACTCAAACACGTAAAATTTAAAATAAACAAGTAAATAAATAAATGACAGGTAAATAAATACATTTCAAAACATTTTTAAAAAGCAACCACAAATGGAAATCACGTGCTAACAAGAAATAAAGGTGAGAGCTGGGCGGCAGCAGCGCACACCTTTAATCCCAGTACTCAGGAGGCAGAGGCAGGAGGATCTTTGTGAGTTAGAGACCAACCTGGTCTATTTTTTCTGCCTTGAAAAAATAATCAAGAAAAAAAAAAAGAACTAAAGGACAGGAACAGGTGAAAACTACATCCATCTAGAAAACAGAGGAAACATTTAGGCCTCAGAGAGAGAAGTGCAAAGCCCTTGAAATTGGCACTGTGGATCAGAACCACATAGAACTGGGTCTTGCTGATGAATGAGAACAGCTTATAAGGACATGATTGTCCCCAGAGAGCAAATAACAGCTGAGCAAGAAAGGCTGGCATGTCAGGTGTCACTCACCCCAGAGCTGCGGCTACATAGGCTGCCCCAGCCGTACTGACTTCTTCACAGTCCACTTGAAGAGTCTCCTGGATAAGCTCGTCCACCACCTGCACCAGGTCCTACGGAGAGACCAGTACAGGGTTGAATACTTCTCAGCGGATACTCATCAAGGTTTTCCTGGTAAAGCACGCGGCCTTAGTCTGCACAGTCAGGAAGACCGCTGAACAACAAAGGTGCCTTCCCGAAGGGCTGGGGCAAGACTGCTATGACCGCCCTGGGGGTGGCCCAACAGCACCTTTATACATCATTTCTTGCTCACATCAAAACCCTCAATTTCTGTGACCTTTAGGCTCTTGCTCAAGACTCCCTGATCCTCCAGAAGGGCCAGTGATTCACAACCAAGTTCCTCACTTATGTAACAGAGAAGTTCTGCTCAAAACCAAAGCCACCCGCTGTCTACAGGCACAAAGCAGTGCTGTGACCCCATAGGCCCTGGTCTGTCAGTCCACTGGTGTCATCCAGGAGCAAATACTGAACAGTCGGAACAGAGGTGTGAATTCAGGTTAATACTAGGGCAGGAGCCACTCAAGCGTACTCCTGACTGCCATAAAGATGAGGTCTCTGGGGCTGGAGAGATGGCTCAGAGGTTAAGAGCACTGACTGCTCTTCTGGGGTCCTGAGTTCAATTCCCAGCAACCACATGATGGCTCACACCCATCTATAATGAGATCTGGTGCCCAGAACACTATATACATAATAAATAAATCTTTTTAAAAAGATGGGGTCTCTGCAGCTACCCTGAAGACTTACATCTATCACCTGAGACTAGGACCTGGATAGGCCCTCTCCTTCACTTTCCCAACTCTGGTTCCTATCCAATGAAACCAGGCAACACAGTCCCCTCACATAAAATGTTTATAGATTTCATGAAGATGCCTACCGAGTCAGAGTACAGAGGAGCAGGCTTTGGAGGCAGCAGCTCGGGCTGTATGGAGGACTGGAAAAGACCAGGTGCCACAGCTGGGGCCAGTGGTGCCACATGAATCACTGGTGTGGATGAGGGTGCAGGAGGTGGCTGTGGGAGGAGAGCCAGTGGGGGCACATCCACCTCTGCCTCATGCTCCTCTCCTCGCCCACCACCTAGAAAGAAACACACAGGTGCTTGTCACCAGAATCACAGAATGTCACATAGCTACAATCTCTACGAAAGGCCCAGAGCTATCCAAACCCTATGGAGTGGACCGCCCTCTTGACAACCATCCTTCGGGTATAGGCATAGGATAATATTTGCTTTGTGTGGAAACTGCATCAGGGTATCACTAGCACTAACAAGGGCTTCAGAACTCCAAATCCAGGCAAAGTGAGAGCTATCCAAGCATCTGGGCAAGAGCCAGACCTGCAGACGCAGACAGAAGCTTCTGTGAGAGGGAGAGCCTACAGCTTCACTCACCGGCTGCGTCGGCACCAGATCTCTGAGCGCTGATGGGCAGCTCTGTTGCCAGGCTCTCCCCAACGTACTTATTCTGGGAGTTAAAGCTGCACACAGGCGTGTGGCGAGGTACAGGGGGCAGTGGCCCTCCATTCACGACTTCTCCAACAGACACAGTCAGCTTCCGGGCAATAAACACTGACTTCCTGGCCTTGGATAATCCCTCTGGTTCCATGAATGCAGACCGATTAAGCTCAACACAGCTACAAACACAGAGAGCCCACAGAGAGAAGTCAGGGGGAAAAGAAGGCAACTATGCCTCCTCAAACCCAACTACTGGATCCCTGATTAGAGCAAGACTGGACAGATATGAGGAAAAAGCTTCCAGTCTTGAGGAATCACAGGACCCGGGGCATTATAGCCATGCATGGAATGACACAAACCACTGTGCTCCTCTTTCAGAGCTGCAGCCCACTCATTTAAAGTCACAGTACTTCCCTGAGGAGGAACTGCTTTGGGCCAAGGAAACAGAATGTCAAGTGTAACAGTGCCATCATCTGGGAAACAGTTTGTGGCATCAATAGCCTCCAAGCCCTGACTACAGTTACAGAGTACTTGACACGGCCTACTGGACTCCCAGCTCTGCTACCAGGTGTTCAGGGGTCAAACAGGGGTGAACAAAGGCAATCTTCAAAGAACACAGTAGAAAAATCCTTTTTATCTTTAGGTTCTCTGGTTGCTGATGAAAAGCAATGATGTCTGGTTCGTTTTATTCTCAAATCCCTGGTTGAGCACACCTTTAATCAAACCACTTGGGAGCAGACCACTGTGAGTTTGAGGCCAGCCAGGGCTACATACCCTATCTCAAAACGAGACAAAAGCAAAAGAACGAACTTTGGTCTTGACCTGTATGTGCCCTGAGACTATTCCCTAGGTTCACAGTAGGGAAGCAATACAAAAAACAGCCTTCTCAGAGGCCCTATAAGTAGCCCTTTATCAGAATTTTAAAAAGGTGTCTGTGTGTTGTGGGGACGGGGCAGAGAGAGAGAAGCATACTGGTGTGGTCTCAGCTCTTACCCATCAGCCACAGTGAGGCCATGGCAATTGAGGAAGTCTGTTGCTTCTTCACAATCTCTGAATAACAGCATGCGTACGACACCATCCAGGGGGAAGACGGTAGAGCGTTGTGTGCTCACAGTGTATGCAACATTGAGTGCTCGGAGGGCGTCCTTACGGATCTGAAAGAAGCCGTGTGGATGCAAGCTCAGCGGGAAACACAGTTAAAGGAAGAGCATGGCCAGCCAGCCACACAATCATGAGCTCCTGCTACAGCTCAGTCCCTACTTCCCTATCTAGGAAGAGCTCACCCTGATCTCTCTGTCAGTGCTCATATTCCCTCAGACTGCCTTTCTTCCCTGTTGTACACAATTACCATGAAATGTACTTTATGTATTCACCATCTTTAGCTCTGGCCTCTTTTCTATTGTCAGTAGTGTTGAAATGGGAACTGTGTTGGTTTTGTTCCCATGCACTCTGAGCATTAGGAAGAGAGCCAGGCAGAAGAGCCAGGTGGTGGTGGCATAATGTGGGATGTCCTTCTGTATATGTGTTGCTCTTATTGGTTAATGAATAAAGTTCCTTTGGCCTATGGAAAGGCAGGATAAAGCCAACCTGGAAGAAAGAGAGAGAGAGAGAGAGAGAGAGAGAGAGAGAGAGAGAGAGAGAGAGAGAGAGAGAGACGCCATGTAGCTGCCAAAGGAGAAAGAGCCAGAAATTACTGGTAGGCCACAGGCTCATGGTGATACATAGATCAAAAGAAATAGGTTAATTTAAGATGCAAGTGTTAACTAATAAGAAGCCTGAGCTAACAGGCCAAACAGTGTTATAATTAATATAGTTTCTGTGTGACTATTCAGGTCTGGGCAGCCAGAAGCTAAAGAGCAGGCTCCGTCTACATTAGCACACACCTTTAATACCACCACTTGGGAGGAGAGGCTGATGAATCCCTATAAGTTTTAGGCCAGCCTAGACTACAAGGTGAGTTCCAGAACAGCCACCCTGGATACACAGAGAAACCCTGTTTTCTTATTTAAAATGGCCTATAGCAGCTAACATTATAGTAATATTACTATTCAATCAAACAGTAAAAACTACTCTCTGCCTCCTTAGCTGCTTGAGGACCACATCATGAATGACACAGTAACTATCTGGGCCAGGAAGTCCATGACTAACCATCTGCTTCAGATAAAACAAATTGTCACTGACGCCCTTCACACCGGGAAAGCATCCATATCAAAGACAAAATTTCAGGAAAAGCTAGTCACAGTGGACAAAACAATACCAGATGTCACCACTGCGTTGGGATTGAAAACAACTGGGCAGTAGAAAGACAACTGACTTTGGCTTGAGGTGTGATTCTCTGGATTATAACAAAAAGACTAAGTTTACACACAGACTTGACAGACTTGGGAGACATGGTCTTGTAAGAAGAAAGAGGCCTCCAGAAAACAGGGAAAAAAATTTAAGAGCAGAATGAGGAGAGTCAGAGGTGGCGCTGCCAAACAGTGACCTGGAGACTGGGTAACAGCAAAAGGAGCAGAGCTTCTGCAAGAATGGTGCAAATGCCTAAGGAGAAGACAAACCATAAAAACATCAAAAAATTAAAAAAAAAAAAAATAATAACTGCAAGTTCCACTTGACAAAATGCACAGACTTCCCTAAGAGGAAGGTTATTAGTAACATTTTCATTTGTTCCAGAATTGGTGACAGGCAAGTCTAACAACAGCAAGCAAACTGGTCAAAGAGTCTTTGCTAGAGCTGTAGAGAGCAGACGTGTAGACAGTGGAACAAAGTCAAGTGCATGTTTAACAAAGATGTCAACTCGCCCTGGAGAAAGGAAAGCATCTTCAACAAACAGGGCTAGGAAAACTGATGTCCCTGTGCAAAAGGAAGAAATTAGAGGGCTGGAGAGATGGCTCAGAGGTTAAGAACACTGACTGTTCTTCCAGAGGTCCTGAGTTCAATTCCCAGCAACCACATGGTGGCTCACAGCCATCTATAATGAGATCTGGTGCCCTATTCTGTCCTGTAGGCAGACATGGAAACTAACACTGTATACTAAATAATAAATAAATGTTTAAAAAAAAAAAAGAAATTAGATCTGTACCTATCACTTTGCACAAAAAAAGTAACTCGGATCAAAGACCTAAATGTGAGCCCTTAACCACAGAAACTACTAGAATAGACATAGGCAGCACCTACATGATAAGAGGTGTAGGAAAGGACTTTCTGAGTAGGACTCCATCTGCCCAAGAGTTAAGGCCAACAACTGAGAGCTGGGACTTCAGGAAACTAAACTTTTGTACAGTTAAAGAAACACGCAATAGGGTGGAGAGGAAGCCTACGGAATGAGAAAAAATCTTTGCCAATTGTACATCTGACAGAGGATTAATATTCAGAATACACAAAGAATCAAAAACATAACAAAACAAACAAAAAAATCAACTCATTAAAATAATAGGCCTGAGACATGAACAGAGAGTTCTCAAAAGAAGCCAAAGGAATGGGGAGTCTGTCATGAGATTGTGTCAACTACAGATATCAGAAGCTACATCCATGAAGGCTTACGGACATGATTGTTTAAACATGAGCTCAACAGGGACAACAACAGATACACTAATGTGGACAGGAGAAAGCCAAGGAGGCCTCAACTCTATACAAAGAACTACTGACAACTAATGACATCCCAGGGGAGGCCTTACCCTCTCTGAGGAGTGAATTGGGGCATGGGGGAGTGGGAGAAGAGAGGAAGGGGGAACTGGGATTGGTATGGAAAATAAATTTTAAAAAATTTCCAACATCTAAAGAACGCTGAGAGTGGGAAGAAATATTCTTCCTCGGGCTGGAGAGATAACTCAGAGGTTAGGAACACTGGCTGCTCTTCCAGAGGTCCTGAGTTCAATTCCCAGCAACCACATGGTGGCTCACAACCATCTGTAGTAAGAGCTGGTGCCCTCTTCTGGCCTGCACATGTCAGCAGAACATCACACACATAGTAAATAAATAAACAAATAAGAAAGAAAGAAAAGAAGGTCTACCTCAAGGAAGAGCACACCAATTGATTATCTAATACCAGTGGTAACCCCTGAAAACAAATATACAAAAAACATTATCTAGACTAAGCAGGTTGTCCTTACATCTAGGAGTGTGTGTGTGTCCCCTCCAGATAGCCCCCTCTCCTATCTGCAGAGGCCAAGCAGAATCACCCTATGCCCAGCTGAAGTAGTGTGTTCACGGGAAGGACACACTGGGGAAGAGTGACAGTACCAGTCATTTCTCATTGGGTCAATACCTGCAGACTAACCTGGCCTTTACTGAAATCTCCAAGCCAATTAAAAATGCTGAAGCTAACAACTAACTAGAACTAAGACCAAGAATTTTAAATCCCTTTATTTAAAAAAAATAAGTAAATAATGGTCTTCTGAATGCCTTTGACGTCTCAAGACCAAACATGCACAAGGCAGAATGAAAAAAGAGGTATTTAAGCATCATCAGCCTCATTCTCAAAACATTCTCAAAACTAGTTGGCTAGTTTTTGTTTTTTCCGGAGTCTTTCTATGTTACTCTGGCTGTCCTCTCAAAATTTTTATCAATACTAAGAATTTCGAAGTTAAGCATTTTGTAGAATATAGTATTTGTGGTTTAGGGTTTGTTTTCATGAAAGGCAACTGTGTTGAACTCAAACCTGCCATCCCAAAGGTTTCTGTGAGCTGCAGAACTCTTCCCACTGCATGCTCTCTCCTGGTGGAGACCCACGACAGCCCATCATCCATTGCTGAGCTGTGGCAGGCTCCGAGAGCTGACAGATGGCTGCCCATCTGGAAGAGTACAGGAGCAGAGAAGCAGTTCACACTTCAAGTTCCTGCTTTTGTCCCTATGCTGCTGGTGGTGCTTCTACCCACCTGGTTAAAGTAACAGTGTAGCAGGCACGCATTCAGGTAAGAAGCAGACTGGACCAGTTTGAAGAATCTCACGAAATTATTACTGTTCAATGCAGCAAAAGCCTGGACAGCAAAGTTGACCTCGGGGGAGTTCCTGACATCAGGGTGGAACTGCTGCACTTCTCTGTAAGGAGCCAAAACCGTTAGTGTTGATTTAAGTCAGTCCAATATAACTAGATCTCAGCAATAATGGTGACAGCCACCACTGAAATCTAAGCTCCATAATCAGCTGCCAAGTCTCACACTTAGCTGACACACACGGGTCTTCTTTCCTTTTTATTTTATTTTATTCTTTGAGATAGAAACTTATGCATCCCAGAGGCTTCAAATTCACTATGGAGCCAAAGATGACCTTGAACTCCCATAGAATTACAGGTGTGGTTTTAAAAGCTTTTCTTTGAAAAGATAATAAACTGTGGGGCTGGAGAGATGGCTCAGAGGTTAAAAGCACTTGCTATTTTTGCAAAGAACCCAAATTCGGTTCCTAGCACCTATGTGAGGTAGTTCACGACTGCCTGTAACTTCAGCTCCAGGATATTCGACAGCCTCTTTTGTCCTTTACAGGAGCCTGCATTCATGTGCATATGCCTACACAGACAGACACACACTATACACAATTAAAAATAGTAATAAATAAAGTCTTAAAAAGACGATAAAGAGCTGAGCACGGTAGCAAGCATCTTTAAACCCAGCACCTGGGAGGCAGGTCTGAGTTTGAGGCCAATCTGGCCTACAGAGTACAACACAAAGAAACCTGTCTCAAAAAACTGAAAAATAAGTGAAAATAGCGAGTGGGTTATGGTGGCACACGCCATTTATCCCCACTCTTAAGGGGTAGAGGAAGGCAGATCTCTGTGAGTTCAAGACCAGCATGGTCTACAAAGCAAGTTCCAGGCTAGCCAGGGCTACAGAGTGAGAATCTGTCTCACCACGCACCCCCCCCAAAAAAAACAAAAATAAAATAAAACTAGGAACTGGAGAGATGGATAGCTGTTGACGGCACTTGCTACCCCAGTATTCAATTCCCAGCACCCATGTGGCAGCTAAGAACTGTCAATAACTCCAGTTCTAGGAGTTCCAATGACATTCTCTGGCTTCCTTGGACGCCAGACTACACGGTACATAGACATACAAGCAGGCAAAACCCTCATAAACATAGATACAAACAAAGTAACATTAATAAAAGAAATATATTTAGCCAGGCATGGTGATGTACACGCCCTTAATCCTAGGAGGCAGATGCAGGAGGATCTCTGTGAGTTTGAAGCTAGCCTGAACTACATAGCGGGTTCCAGGACAGGTAGGACTGCTACACAGAGAAACCCTGTCTCAAGACCAGGCTCCCCATTTTTTTAACTGCTTTATTCAAAATGGGTACAAATGATTGTCATATATGAAGAGACACCAGCCAATTTTTTTGTTTGTTTGTTTGTTTGTTTGGTTGGTTGGTTGGTTGGTTGGTTTTTCAAGACAGGGTTTCTCTGTAGCTTTGGAGCCTGTCCTGGAACTAGTTCCTGTAGACCAGGCTGGTCTCAAACTCAAAAAATTCATCTGTCTCTGCCTCCCAAGTACTGGGATTAAAGGCGTGCGCCACCACCACCCGGGTCTACCAGACAATTTTTATAACCTGTTTATCTGCTGTAAAGCTTAAATCAATCATACATATAGACCTACAACAATAGGTCTTGGAGAAAATATTAACAACAAAAATCAGCTAAACACAGCTATAAACTATAATCTCAGCATTCAGAAGGCAGAGGCAAGAAACCTCAAATTTGAGGTCAACTTGGGTCACATCTCACAATGAGATTATATCAAAGAGAGAGAGAGAGAGAGAGAGAGAGAGAGAGAAGGAAAGGGGAAAGGAGGGAGGAGGAAGGGAGCGAAGGAATACAAAACAACTAATTTCAATATAAATAAGGGGTTTTTTACAAATAAAAGGAGGCAATGGCTACCACTGAGTTTAGTTTACCAAATGTGGGTCAGGCAAATCTGCTGTATCTCTTTCTTATTTAAAGGTCTACTGAAATATCAAACCAACATTTCAAATTCTCTCACCCAGTAACTTATCCACTCGGCTCTAACTTTTCCTTCTACTATATGCCACCAAGCACACATTCTGAAGCTGAATTAGCACACTAATGGGACTTCCTACCTTTAGTGTCCTCATTTCCTACCTATGCCATTGAGAGGATCCCTCTCAGGAACAAACATGAAGGGATTATACACAGCATGCTGATCTCAGGACATGCTCACACTTGTTTATTCCTGGCTCAGTTTGGCAGTGACACCATGGGCTTTCTATACATCAAAGCCTAACTTCTGAATCTGAAAACACACCTCAAAATGTCTCCTTTGTTGAGATTGAGCAGGACATTGTAGCCCTGGAACTCTGCCTCGCTGGTACAGAAAACACCTTTGTTCCTCAGGTCCTGGTACATCTCCTTCAGACTCTGTAGACACTTGGTCATATTCTCATTGTTGATCTTGGCATCGAAGGAGGACATGGGCTCCTCGCACATGAAGTGGGCACAGTGGATATGGAATCGGGTACATTTCTCAATCAGAGACACCGTCAGGGGATCGCAGAGGTGCTGCTGTGTGATGTCCTGTTCACACATTAGAGAGGATTACACATGCACACATACATTCGTCACTCACACCTACGCCACATATACACACGATCCATGAAAAGTCAACTTTTTTAAAAATTATGCTTATGAGTTGAATTACATTTCAACTTGAAACTAACCCAATGAAACACAATCAAATAGTTTTATAATGGCTCAAATAAAATCATTTCTATTTCACATAAAATATTTGCGTAAAAGAAACGGGAAAGTTCAATTTGTGACTATACATGCATTTCCTAGTCATGTGATTGGAGGGAGCTAATACCTTCCGTATACCCCGTGTGCGGTTCCACACGAAGTCGTACCAGTCCCGAAGGCTGCCTTCCTTTTGGTCCATGATCTGGGTCACCAGGTAGTCCATGGTCCTGCTGAGAACTGCTGAGGGCCTCAGCTCATGTGGCAGGGGCTCCTCCTGATCTGCAGAGGACCGGCTGTACTCCTTCACGGCTGCTGCATGGTCCACCTGGGCAAGGGGTAGAGACAAACTGCTTCATGCAGGTCTTTGAACCTTAAAATGCAGGAGGAAATCACATACACACCCTCATGAGATCAGTGCTTGGGAACACAGTTTCTTAATGAAAATGTTCTGTTAAAGGTGACAAATTTTAAGGACAAATAAATTAAGAAACTTGATTCAGGCAAATAGAACAAGGGTATCACAGGAACAGGAAGGTAAGGAAAGACCCATCTGCTCACCCCAAAGCATAGTGGTAACAGGTAAAGGGGCTTCAAGCAACAGAAAACATATTAAGATCAAAATTAAAAACAAAAGCTGTGCCTCTGTGTGGTGGTGCATGCCTTCAATCCCAGCACTTGGAAGCCTGGTCACAGAGAGAATTCCAGGACAACTAAGACCATACAGAGGGTCTCTGTCAAAAAAACAAAAAAACAAAAAAAAAAAAAAAAAAAAAAAAAAAAAAGAAAGAAAAAAAGCTAAACAAGGGGAAAAGAC